CCACGTAGGTATGTGTCTGTGTGCACATGTACACACTCATAGACAAACACTTTTTCATGGTGACGAGGTTCACGTGGAGTTGGTCTCTTCTGTTTCTGGTGAGAGGAGCAGGCAGGCGTGCCTGCCGCCACATGCTGCTCACATGGCAGCAGAAGCCCACATGGGAAGGCCTCCCTCCCAGTGCAGCCTGCAGGTTAACTGTCAAGATCCCCTTCATCTTCTAGTCCCTGCAGCTAGTGGCCCTGGTAGAGAACCAGGGTTTCATGCACACTTGGAATCAGCTGTCCAAGCCATGTGTGGCAGCCTGCGGTGTCTGTCTAAACAAGGTCCTCTCTGGTCGCACTGCATGGTTTTCCTGTGGATTGGTTTTGGGGCATTCCTCCCTCTGTTCCATCTCTCATGGCCCAGGGCTGTCACATAGGAAGTCATCTTATCCCTCCAACCTTCCAATGTTTCTCTTCTCCATTACTATATGTTGTTTCTCTTTTATGTTAATGGTGTTTTAATTTTGTTGTTGGTGGTGGTAAAACACATAAAAAATGCGAACAATACAGAAGTGTATAGAGTGAAAACTAAGTCCCTCCTCGGCCTGTTCCCCAGCCTCCAGTTCTGCCTCCTGACCCCCACCCCACACAACTCCTCTGACGTCTTTCTTGATATCCTACCAGAGATGTGTTTTCCCTGTGTAAGCACATATATGAGTTCATAGGTTTGAATGTATTTTACATATATGAGAATTTACCATATTTATTGTTCTCCACCTTTTTTCTCAACTTGTGGATTGAAATAATAAAAACCACTGATGATTGACAAAATTTAGTAAGCAGTTAAAACACTTGCTTTTTTCACTCAATCTACAATAAATATAATTTTCATGTGATCTATCTTAAACATCAGGTTTTTTTTTTTCCCCCGATTTTCTATCTCATCAGCTGCTGAAAGGCCCAAATAGACCCAGTCATGTTTCTCAAGCAAAATTTAGTTTTAGTTACTCACAGGAAGAGATTTCAAGGGGAAGAGACTGACTCCACATGTGAGCTATAAAGGCAGCCAGTTTCCTGTCAGCATTTTCTGGAAGTTTTAACCTGATGAATGTCTCTAATGCTCATTTGTCACCAGAAACTTAAAGAGTTTGGTTTCTTAATTATCTAAATACAGACACCTATGGGAACTCTGATAATAAGTATGGGTTCTACAACTAATTACTGCTTTCTTTGTGAACAACGCATAAAACCCTTTTCTTGTCAAAGGAAATTCCAGTAATAAAACAGAGTTGTATGACTAAGAACACCAGTTATGAATGTAGGACATAAAAAAGAGATAAGTATACAATGTTCTTGGGAATAATATGGCCTCGGAGAGTCCCTGGTTTATTCTCCTTAGTGACTATACCAGGCTTCCCAAGATGTAAGGAGAGAGCTGACATCAAAGAATTGCTGAAGGTCTCTTAAGTGCTTTTTTTTTTTTTTAAATATGTTTTTGAATTAAATTTGGGAAATTGTTCATGTCATGAAAAGATTCAGGCATTCAGAAGTGAATTAGTAAGTTGTCTTTAGATTCTTTAGAAAGTACCCATGCCTAGCCTTGGTGCCTTTCTGCATGTGATTCATGCCAAATAAAAGCACGGTTGCTTTTTGTCCTTTCTTACAGAATATACCTGAAACATGGGAGTCCAGTTAAAATGATGGAGAGTTATATTGCTGTTCTCACAAAGGGGGTATGCCAGAGTGAAGAAAATGGCTCTTTTCTTAGCAAGGACTTTGATGCCCGAAAGGCATATCTTGCAGGCTCCATTAAAGGTAAAAGAAAAAAAAAAAAACCATCCCAACAAGAAAATCTTCAAGCCAAGGACAATCTCTCATTAGATTTCATTGTTCCATCTTTCCATACATTATTTTCATCTACATAGTATTTGTCTCCTACACAGGAGGGTACTTCAACTCCTATGTTTCCTTATTGGTTAGAATCAATGGAAAATAGATTTTTGTGGTGTTCCTTTCCATATTAGGCTGTTATTATAGAAATGTTATCTCACTAGTAAGCTGAATGTCCAGGCTCGAGGTCTCCATTGACTTCCACAGTTTTTCTCTCCTTGTATCTTAGCAGTTACCTCTTCTTCAGGAGCTCAAGTCCTGACCCAGAGTCCCTTATTTAACTCCTAGCTGGAAAATCCAAAATGGCATAGATAGCCCAGGGCTCAGCCACAGACTTCAGGGTCCTCAAGCAGGAGGAGAGGGGAACTCTGAAGGTGAAGCTGCCCCCATTCACATCCTCCCCTTGTGCCTGTCTTTGCTCTTGATCCCATTGTCCTATGTGGCTTCTAAGCATCCTTGTTGAGGTGTCAGGTGTTCATCCAACTAGATAAAAAGGGCTTAAGTAATGACAGGGGCGGGAGTGGTTAATGGACTTTTTCTTAAAAATCAGGCTGTTTTCATGATACAGAAAGATGTTGGTTCCCCTTCATATCATTTATTCTACTTTCTTGTGAGTCTGGCTTCATCTGTGCCTCCTGTGTGGAGCCCCTTGGGGGTAGCTGCAGGCAGCTGTAGCACAGCCGATGAGCAGTCATCGGGTAGATATACTCATCTGCCAAATAAGGTGCTTTCATGTTTGCAACATTTGCCTAAATTTATTCTTTATATTGAACATAATTTTGTGTATGTATGACAACTCTTTCTGATAAAAATTTATTTCCTTATATAATATTTAATGTAGTAACATTTTAATTTCTTTTTTTTTTTTTTTTAAAGACATTGTATCTCAGTTTGGAATGGAAACTGTTATCTTACACACCGCACTCATGCTAAAGAAGAGAATTGTTGTCTATCATCCCAAAATAGAAGCTGTCCAGGAGTTTACCAGGTATCATCTCTAATTATTAAAACCTGTGAACTTTGTTGGCAGACAGTTTGGGGCACTAGATATTACCATGTGCTCTGTTCTGTATACATGGCATGCGTTACTCTGGGGTTGAAATACCATTTTGTCTAATGTTTCAGTTTAGATCTAGTGGTTCAAAGTCACTGAATTTGGACAGATTCTTAACATTAGAAAAATGAATATTTTAGAGCAGGGAATTAGCAAACTTTTCCTTGCCAGACAGTTTATATTTTAGGCTTGCGAGCCATGCAATCTCTGTCTTAACTAGTCAGCTGCCTGGGTAGCACAAAAGCAGCCATAGATAACATGTATGTAAATGAATGAGAATGGCTGTAATCAATAAAACTTTATTTACAAAGATAGGCAGCTGGCCTATGGCCTATGGGCCATAGTTTGCTGACCCCGATTTTAGATGAGCTATACCTTCTGTTCAGTGTTACCAAAGACTCTCCTATTTTTATAATAAATACAGATCTTTTAGAATTTAATTTTACTAAATCTAACTTGTTCTTAGCTTCTTTTTTAAAAGCAAGGGAATTAGCATTTGTGCTGGTTTTATTATATGCCAGGCATAATATAAGACACCTTAAATTATTAAATTTACTTATGACAAGAACCCTGCAAGGAAGTATTATTACCCCATTTTATGAACGAGAAAATTGAGGCTTGCAGAGGCTAAGTGGTAAGATCATGAAAAGAAGAAAGGTTTCATAGTCTGAAAGATCTGAGTTAAAATCCTGGGACAGCAACTTATTAGCTTTGTGGCCACATAAAAGATATTGAATGTTTCTGAGCCTCAGTTTCTTTATCTGTAAAATGAGGATCATAATACATACTTCATAAGTTCATTTTTAGCACTAGAAATAATTTATGTAAAATGCTTAGCATGTGGCTTGTTCATACTTTAGAAATGATTATTGTTATGATCGTGACTGCCTCAAATCTTAAATGAGAGGGCCAGAATTTTTCCTCTGCTCTCTGGCTCCAAAACTATATTTTTCTACCCCCTTATTTTTCCACCTACATTCATGCTTCTTAAACTGGAGTGTCCCTAGCTTCTGGGGATATTTACCAGGGGGTGCACAGAGCCACAGATAAAGTCAGCACATCTTCCTGCAGTAGTTGTTTTACCACAAGTTTTTTCTAAGGAAACCTATGTTGTGTGAAAACAGACACAGCGTGGTCTGCAAGTTTGGCTGGAACTCTAAACGTAGATGGAGGCTTCCTGAAAATTTCCTGCTTACCGGGGCCACTTTGGATATTACCTTGGACTCTCTCTCCGTGGCAGTCTGCACACTGGGATGTTTGGAGGAAGACTTTAGAAGTATCACTCCTTGCCACCCTGGAGATCTTTTGAAACTTCACCTTGAGCTTTCTGTAGCTTATCCGACCCAAAAAAGTAGAGTGTAAAACACTGAATTGCTTTAACTTGAAGCCTGAAGGTGTCTGTTAGCATGTTTGGGGCTTGGTCTCACCTCTGTCCCTGATTAGCTGTTATGGCTCTAGCTTCTTAATTTCCTCCTCAGGAAGAGGAGGGACAGGCTGAGTCTTTTAGGTGTGGGCCAGCTACAATTTGACTTCTTGCCTTGATTCCCCAGGACTCTGCCCGCTCTCGTGTGGCATCGACAGGACTGGACCATCCTTCATTCTTATGTGCACCTCGATGCCGATGAACTGGAAGCCCTGCAGATGTGCACGGGTAGGCAGGAGGATCCTGGGAATGAAATATTTTGCTTTAAGGAGGGTTTTTTGTTTTGGTTTTATTTTTAATGTGTATTCCTAAGGGGAATACTGGTCATTTATTATTTCTTTGGCAAATGCTATCAATTTTTTCTCCTTTTAAAAAAATAGTGGTAAAATTCATATAACATAAAACTTACCATCTTAACCCTTTTTTTTTTTTTTTTGTCTTTTTCGTGACCGGTAAAGGGATCGCAACCCTTGGTGTGGTGTTGCCCGCACCGCGCTCAGCCAGTGAGCGCACCAGCCATTCCTATATAGGATCCGAACCCGGGGCGGGAGCGTCGCTGTGCTCCCAGCGCCGCACTCTCCCGAGTGAGCCACAGGCCGGCCCGTCTTAACCATTTTTAAGTGTACAGTTGAGAGGCATTAAGTACATCCATAGTGTTGTGCAACCATTACCAAAACGCAACTTATTTTTAACTTGTAAAGTTCTAATCTTTAAAGTTTCCCTGTCTGTGATTTGATTTTGAGTATTTAGACTTTATTTTGAGCCTTTCCATATTTTTTCCCAAAAGAAAGTTATAATTATTTTTAAATGATATTATTATACTTCAATAGTAATTATTAATAATGAGAACCTGGGAATAATTTAATAATAAATTATTACATCTACAGGAATTGTGACTTCGTAGTAACACAGTTTTGTTTTATTTTTTCGTGGTTTTTTTTTTTTTTTTTTTTTGGCGGCTGGATGGCACAGGGATCTGAACCCTTGACTTTGGTGTTATATCACCATGCTGTAACCAGCTGAGCTAACTCATCATCTCTGGGTTTTTTTTTTTTGTTTTGTTTTTTAATTTAAGGGTATGACCTTTATACTTTTATGGTGTTAAAAGGCCTTTTCATAAAATGATGATGATGGTAGATAATAAGGACTTTTGTATTGCTTTTTATTTTTATTTATTTTTATTGTTGTTTTTAAATTATAAAATATTTCTTACATATAAAACAAAGTATATTTATGTAAGTTATTAAAAATAAAAGGAAAACAGACCCACCAGACTCATGAAAAAGAATATCGTTAGTACTTCAAACCTAGATACTTTTTCTAGGTTGTACATGGGGCATAGAATTTCTGAGTTATAAGGTATGCAGATGCTCAAGTTGCTGGGTAATGCCAAATGCTTTCCTTAGGTTGTACCAATTTGCCCTCCTCAGTACAGGAGAGGTCCATTGCTTCTCATCCCCAACAGCACTTGGTAGTAATAAACGTTAAAATGTTTGCCAACTTGGTGGGTGTACGATGATATTTAGTTGTGGTTTTAATTTGCATTTTCCTGATTCCTAATGAGGTTAAACATATCTCTCTCTGTTTTTGCCATTTGCGTTTCCTCTTCTAGAAAATGACTGTTTCTTTTACTCATTTTTTTCATTGAGATTTTAATTGATTCATAGAAGTTCTTTATATATTCAGGATATGAATCTATTGTTGGTTATACCTGCTTCAAAAATCTCCAAGTTTGTGGATTTATTTTTCATTCTCCTCATGGTTTTTGATGAATGAAATTCTTAATTTTAATGTGTTAGGATTTATTAGACTTTTATGATGTTAGTGTTTTATATTTTGTTTGAGCAAATTATTTTGGTCCCAAGGATAGAAAGATATTCTCCTACGTTTTCTTGTAAAAGTCCTAAATGTTTTTTCTTCCCAATTTAAGTCTTAGCTGGCTGGTTGGCTCAGCTGGTTAGAGCATTGTGCTGATAACACCAAGGTCCAGAGTTCAATCCCTGTACCGGCCAGCTGCCAAAAAGGAAAAAAAAAAAAAAAATCCATGCATTGGCCAATTTAAGTCTTTAATCTACCTGGAATTGCTGTTTGTGTAGTGTGTGAGTTTGGAATCTGATTTAACTTTTTTTTTTTTTTTCCCCATATAGATAACTATTTGGCCTGAGACATTTATTGACTAGTTTCCTCCTTTCTTCAGTAATCAGCAGAATCATTCAGTCGTATATCACATTGTCTCATATATGAGTGAGAGCTGTTGTTAAATACCACCAATTCCAGAGGTCTGCTAATTCTTGAATTGCCCTGATTAGCATTTATTGATTGTATCAGATCCATGTTATCACTGAGAACATAGGCATGTGGCTTTGATTTCCTGGAGACAGACCTGAAGAGGGAACATTGGTTAAGAGAATCCTTGCTACCTTCTGCCTTGTCTGTCATTCTTAACCCAAATAGCATGACCAAAAAGTAAATGCTTTGCTTCAGCCTTGTTCCCTGACATTGAAGTCTAATTTTGGAACATTTTGAGTTGTGTGAATTTCTTCAGGCAACTGACAATAATGTAGTTTTCATAAATGCCACAGGGTACGGCTGATGTTCCCAAATAAAACAGTGAAGAAAAGCAGCTGATGAGCTTTTAGACTCAATTCTCTTTTGATATGTTCACAATATTTCTTCCTACTCCAGTAGTGTTGTTCATCTTTGTAATGCAGGTTACATCGCCGGATTTGTCGACTTGGAAGTGAGCAATAGACCAGACCTCTATGATGTGTTTGTGAATCTGGCAGAGAGTGAGATTACTATTGCTCCACTTGCAAAAGGTTAGTTCTCAGTTCTGTTACTAGCACAAGATATCAGTCAAATAACTGTACATGGGTACTTTAAAAAGTTCATGGAAAGATTTGTATTATCTTTTAATCCTATTTTTCCATGAACTTTTTGAAGTACTCATATTTTTTAGGTTGATTTTCTTTTTTTAAAAAAGATGACTGGTAAGGTGATCTTAACCCTTGACTTGGTGTTGTCAGCACCAAGCTCTCCCAAGTGAGCAAACTGGCCATCCCTATATAGGGATCCGGACCCGTGGCCTTGGTGCTATCAGTACCACCCTCTCCCAAGTGAGCCACAGGTCAGCCCTTCAGTTGATTTTCTAAAACCAGTATTTGAAGGCTTGCTTAACCCACTCTGCTGAAGCTGGAGGGATTTTTCCGTATCTGGAACACAACATTTATTTAAGACATAAACATGTTAGCAGTACATCCTGGGTGCTTATGCTGCACATGTATGTTAACAAATTTTCCGCACTTTTCTGCTTAAACAAAGTATGTCTATTGCTACATAACAGATCACTTTAGAACTCAGTGGTTTAAAACAACAGATATTGGGCCAGCCCCGTCACTCACTCAGGAGAGTGCGGCGCTGTTAGTGCCGAAGCCACGGGTTTGGATCCTATGTAGGGATGGCCAGTGCGCTCACTGGCTGAGCGTGGTGCGAACCACACCATACCAAGGGTTGCGATCCCCTTACCGGTCATAAAATAAAATAAATATTTATTATCTCACAGTTTCAGTGGATCAGGAGTAACTTAGGTAGGTGGTTCTAGTTCAGGGTCTCTTTTGAGGTTTCAATCAAGATATTGCCAGGGCTGCAGTCATCTGAAAGCTCAGCTGGGGCTGGAGATCCACTTCCAAGCTAACACACATGGCTTTTGGCAGGAGGCCTTAGTTCCTTGCCACATGGACCTCTCTACTGGACAGCTTGAGTGTTCTCACAACATGAAAGCTGGCTTTCCCAAGAGCAAGGGATCCAAAAGAGAAAGGGAAGAAGGCCAAAGCCTTTTATGACTTTGTTCCTGAAGTCACACAGTATTACTTTCTCTATACTTGTTAGAAGCAAGTCACTAAATCCAGTCCACACTTAAGGGAAGAGGAATAAGTCTCCAGCTCTTGAAAGAAGAAATATCAAAGAGTATGTAGACATTTATCACTACACAAGGATTAAATATGACTCCGTTTTGTATGGAAAATCTTTGAAGGATGTCTCAGTAAGCAAAAGGGAATGAAAGTGGTCTTGGAGGTAATGATCGAGAAAGGGTATTCTAGTGTCACGAGTGTCATCTCTAGATATGATAAATTGTCCTAAATTACAGCTTCATGGAAAAGTGCCCAGGGATACTCAGGTGCTGGTTTAGATGGGATCACTGATAATAGCTTTTGTGTTGTCACTTACCTGTCTCCTAAAAGTGGGGGCAGCCAAATGCTGACTAATTAGAAATTTTTGTTAAGATTCTGATTATATGAGGTTTTATTAGCAACTTCAAATTAATAAAACCAGAATTGGTTTTCTCTTAACTCATTCTAAAATTACAAATATAATGTGTGTTCATGGTGAAAAATTCAAAGTACAGAATCAGGTTTTTAGTAGATACTGCCTGTTGAAAAGCCAATGTGGTAGAAAACTGGCTGTGGCCAGGGCCACTTAAACTGCTGAAGCCATAGGGTCAGAAAGGATGGCCATCTCCCTGCTGCTACTGCTGTTCAGACTGTATAAAATGGGCTCATCCCAGCCAGTACCATTCGAATGGAGTTTATCCCTTGCAGTGACAGCCAGAAATTTGTTAATCTTTTTGATGCAGACAGTAGCAGTGTATGTAATTAATGTTACTTAGGTGGTTTCCTTTGCTCATTTCTAAGGGTCTGAACACACTGAATGCTTAGGTGGCTTCTGCACAACTGTCAGGAAGCACTTCTTTCACAACATTCCCACCAGAAAGATAAAATTAAATGCTTAACGGTAAAGTCCTGGACAAGAAAGTCAGGTTCTTGGCATAAAGTCACAACTTATTTGTAACCAGAGTTTTTCATTACGTTTTATCTGCAAAGAATAATAAAAATTGGTGTCAGGTGGATGTGAAGGGGAAATTTGGCATGGTATATAAATCATGATTGTGTTATGCTTTACCTCCTAGCATGTCATTATGTTTGTGTTTAGTGATAAAATGGAAATGTGGGTGATTGTCAGCTGCATTTTGAAAATTCCCTCAGTATGGTCTTTCAAGTTTTTGGAAAGACGGCATGATTATTTTTTATTATGTAAACTTCTCAATACTCACACAGCATATTCTTGATCTCACCAGAGGCCATGACAATGGGCAAACTGCACAAAGAAATTGGTCATCTAATTGTTCAGTCTGCGGAAGATCCAGAGAAATCAGACAGCCAGGTTATACAGGTAACTCCCTCGTCTTCCGACATGCTAGGGGTCCTGCGACAGCATTGCTGGCTGGTGTGCGGCACATCTGCTCCTTACCTGCACGGTAGCAGGGTACAGTAGCATGGGAGGGGCCTGCAGGCAGGTGCTCAGACATGGGTTGGTGGGTTGGCTACGGTGATGATGGATGGGCAGGTGTGGGCTGCCATGGCCCAGCCCAGGGCAGGTGTATATGGGGGCTGGTGCTGAAGACAACCATTGATAGTGAGAACCGTAACTGCCAGGTGGTTTGGAATGCTTTTCTGGGCCAGCCAGTGCTACTCCCAGGAGAATGTTCATGAAGGAATAAATCATAAAGAGAAGGTAGTTGCTGAGCACGGAGCAAGATAGACCACTGTAATGTAGCTTTGCTGTATTGTCTCCAGGACAGCGGAAATCATGCAGTCAGACTCCTGTCCCGCTGAGCAAGCTCTGCCGTCACACCTGCAGAGCCACCTCCTCTGTGGGGACTACCTATCAAGCTGACCAGAGTTTCCATGTGGACCAGTCAGCACCTTCTCTTTTATTTCCTGTGCCTCTCCACGTGGTGCCGGTGCTCCTTCTCTGCCCTGTAGCTTGCCCAGTATCTTCACATCCTGGCTCCTGGCTCTTTGCATTTGGCCTGTGCCCAGCTCCTTGCTCCTCTCCGGAGGGATACGCTTCCAGCCTATCCTCTCCCAAGCCTTGCCTCATCCAGACCCCCGTCTCACACCCTGGGCCCGAGGGGCCTGGAAGGACTGTCTCCCTTATCTGTGCCTGTGCCACGTAGGGGGCACCTCTCATAAGCAGGCTCTACTCACCTGTTCCAACCCAGCGCATTTCTTCATTCATCTGTTCAGTGACTCAGATGGCGCGCACCGAGCACCAGCTCTCCATCAGGCACTGCCCTGGGCAGTGGGGGTCAGTGGGGAGCCAAGCCCCCGCCCTCACAGAGCCTGTGCTCTAGTGGGCAGATGAATAGAAAATAATACACATAGGGCTGGCCCGTGGCTCACTCGGGAGAGCGTGCTGCTGACACCAAGTCAAGGGTTAAGATCCCCTTACTGGTCATCTTCTAAAAAAAAAATAATAATAAACGAGATGTTTGTGGGCCAGGATAAATGCTGTGACAGAAACAAGGGGGGAGGCAGAGAATATTTGGGAGGAGGTAAGACAGCTCTCTGAGGAGGTGACATGAACCGAAGGAGAGGGGCCACAGGGACTGCCTGGGACTCGCCAGCAGCACTCTTCTTTCAGTTCAGTGCCAGTGGCCCGTCCAGCTGTGCCCAGGAAGAGTGGACAGGTCTTGTCCTGAGGACCCGCACCCTGAGACTCTCAGAAGATGCTGCTTTTCTACCATGTGGGTCATCAATGCCCACCCAGCCCCCATCAACATTAGAGTGAAAACACTTAGCAGTGTTAGTGAAATATGTAAATGTGCATTTTGAATTACTGTGTTTTTCATGGACAAATAGTGAGGCAGAGATGACTCCATATAATGTATGACACCTTGGGGAGGGAGAGTCAAAGTGCCCAGCATGTTGCAGGGGCCCAGAAACATCGGAATGAGGCCATGATGTCAGCAACCCAGAAGAAAGACGTGAGTTTAATGCGAGCCCTCGTGAGACCTCAGCCGCTCAGAGGAAAGCCGGTTACTGAAGAGGAATAAAGCCTGGTGGCAGGGGCTGGGTACTTATCCCAGCAAAAGAAGACTTTGGGGAAGAGATTTGTTCAGAGAACAATAGCAAGGTTCCTCAAAAAGTTAGAGTCACCATATGATTCATATGTTTCATAATTTATAAATAAAGTTAGTCTGATAAACTTTTAAAAAAATGGTAGGAAGAATTCTAGGAAATAACTTCAAATTTTTGGATACTAACGTATTACATATTCTCCTGTTCTGTTAAAGGATATTGCCCTCAAAACAAGAGAAATCTTCACCAAGCTAGCACCGTTTTCAGAAGTTTCAGAAGATGGAGAAAAGAGAGTCCTCAATTTTGAGGCATTAAAGCAAAAACGATTTCCACCAGCAACAGAAAACTTCCTTTACCATCTAGCAGCAGCCGAACAGATGCTGAAAATCTGACCAGGACAGAATGTCTCACTGATGACTGATAGAAAGCCCGCCTCTCCCTCTGATTAGCCATTAGCTATGTAAAATACTGAAAATAACAGAGAAAATGTTCTATTTTTAATGATTTATTTGAAAGTATTGAGATTTGACCTGAAACACATGAAAACACTTCTGAGTTTCTTCTAGCAGATCAGTTTCCTGCCCGCTGTCAGTGTCGGACAAAGTGCTGTCACTACTACGTGTAACATTGTAAAACAGCCTGATGTCCTGGAGTAAGAGAGAAAAAGCTGTCAAGTTCTTGTGCAAATCACAGCAAATCTTAAAGCCTTCATTATTATGTTCCCATTTATCACCTGTGTAGCTATAAACTAATGGTTTATTTTCAGAAAGCTGCCTGAAATTCTGCTTTGTATTCTTCTAGGAAGAACTTTAATTCCTTATGAGGAAATCTACTTTCTGAGCCAAACTACTTAAGTTTTCTGCAGAACTGTCTAGAAGATCATTCAAAAGACCCTGCAGTTGCACTCTTTTGTAAAAGAAAAATTTTTTTCTTGGCCTTTGAACATTTTGCCTGTACTATGAAGATTTTGATTAGATTTTATACTTGAGTAGACAACTTTAATACTCCATATTTATATTGTTACAGAAGTAAGCACCTGGCAAACTTAAGCCACTAGTACTCTTCAGTTAACCCTGTTGCTAGCAATATTCTTTTGAAAAAGATGCTCGTCCTTACATGGTAAATGAGGGGCCCACTTTGAACATAAATGTCTGCAGGACTGAAACAGTGACATCATAATTGGTAAGGAATTGTGAGAATTAACTTCTTGCAGGGACCAAAGCCAGAGAATGTCTTCAGACAACTTTAGTAATGTAATTTGGCCACATAGCAAAGTAACTGTTCTCTGTTCTGTACCATTTTCCTAATTAGAGACCTTATAATTGCCAAACAAGCATAGAGGTCTAAGATATACTTGTTATTTTAGAAATCCTACCTGGAAACATGCTTGCAAAAAAAACTTCTTTATACGATCTTTTTCTCTTTTTGGTGTTAACATTTATTATACAAAAAATAAAAAATAGCCTTTTTCTCCTCCCTCCCTAGGTGGGGGCAGGAAAATACCTGAAATGAAATGATGTTCACTGAGGCAAACAACTGAAAATTAAATCTGCACTTTATGAAAATGCATACTAACATCTTTTCTCCCACCCTTTTTTTGTATGACTGTACTGATGCTCCTCTATATACGATGGGGTTACCTATTGATCAACCCATTGTAAGTTCAAGATATTGCAAGTCAAAAATGCATTTAGTACACCCAGCCTACCTTAGACAGTGAAAATGTTTAAGAACGCTTACTTTAGCCTATGGTTGGGCAAAATCATCTAGCACAAAGCCTATTTTATAATACAGTGTTGACTGTCTCGTGTAACTTATTGAATACTGGACTGAAAGTGAAACGCAGGATGCTGTGTGGGTGCTTGGAGGATGGCTCCTGCTGCACACACGTCACTTCCACACCATTGTAAAGTCAAAATATGGAAAGTTGAACCATCTTAAGTCGGGGCTGTCTGTATTAGTTAATGATCAAAGTCGTGGAAATGACAAATTTATGATGTAGAAATAAAATGAAGTATTTTGATACTCAACAAAGTTTTTGGTAGGTGAAGACTTGTGCCTTCTTTCTCCAATTCTCACTCCAAACAAAGCAAAAGAAAAAAACCTGTTTTTCAACTGAAGGTGAAGGCACTGGAGAATTATTAGAAGACCTATGTGAAAGTTAAAGCTGAGGGCTGGCCGGTTAGCTTAGCTGGTTAGAGTGCAGCCTTTTAACCCCAAGGTCACAGGTTTGGATCCCTGCACTGGCCAGCTGCCAAAAACTTATAAAATTAAAGCGACCCCACACCACAACTCGGCCCCACCTTCTGTCCTGCCCTACCTCCTCCATTCCCTGCTTGCTAGAGCTGCCTCTCACTTCAGCTTCCTCTGCTTGGAAGGTGCCTTCACATTTCTTACTCCATCATCAGTTAGAAGCTAAACCTCCACCTGGAGCCTTTGCCCATCTTGTTCTCTGCATTTAACTTTGTGTTAAGGCTGTGGCCAGCCTCAGCCATCTGGTGGATAATTTTTACTCATTGTCCTTTTAGGATGTTGTGAGACTCCTTTTACCGAATTTGGAACTAACCATCATTCTGGCCTAGGGAAAGCTGGAATCCACTGGTATGTTCCTTGATTTGGGGCAGGGTGTGCTGGAAACGTTCCCCTGGTACACAAATGTTTGGGTACCTACTCTTTCACACCCTGTGTTGTATCTGGGGCTACCCCATGGGTAAGACAGTCTGCTGGGGAAACAGGATTAGCAAGCAGGTCCTTGCACTAGACCCGATATGGGAAACACAGGATGCTACGGGAGCACATAGCAGGGACACCTAATTCAGTACCATGAATCCTGGAAGGATTACCCCCCTCTGGGGGGAACGATTATGTCCAAGCCAGACCTGAAGCCTAAGCAGGCGTTAGCCCAGAGCAGAGGGAACAGCCTGTGTGAAGGCCCAGAGAAGAGTGACCACAGCCCACATGAGGAACTGGATGCTGGTCCACGGTGAGGAATGGGAGTGGCGAGATGAGTAAGGTAAAGGCTCCTGCCTTCCATAGTAAGGAACTTGGACTTGGTCCTGACGCACCTGTAAGCCATTTAAGGCTTTTCAGCAGGTGTGGCTTAGAAGATTGCAGGGAGCCAGACAGCAGCCGAGCAGTACCAGCAGGGGATGCTGTTGGGCTGAGCTGGGGCGATGCAGCAGCCAGGAGTTCTAGACTAGACTGTGTGGGGCCGGGTCTGTGGAATGGGGTGGGGGTGACATCACTGATCCTGTTCTACATAACTGGGTCAGTGGCAGTGCCTTTTGCTGAGGTTGGGAGGGAAAGCCCATCTCAGGTTGGATGGGTTGAGTTAGAGGTATCTGTGGGACATCCAAATGGCAAAGACCATTGGGCAGCTGGATGGGGGCCTCTTGCTCAGGAGAGCAGCATAACACGGGAGCGTCCCGGTAGCACATGGGTGAGGCGGTCTCTGCTGAATGGAAGGTGGGGCAGAGAAGATGAGGGCCCACAAGTCTTGTAAGAAGTCTGCTATGAACAGAGTTTGTGCTTTTTTAATGAAGCAGGTGACTGAAACAGTTTAAATGCTACTGGGAAGGAGCCAGCAGGGAGGGACGCTGAGCCAGAGGGGACGGCAGAGACTACAGAGCAAGGCCTTGGGATAACAGAGAGGGTGGGCCCAGAGCCTGAGGGACAGCTGACCTTGCACAGAGGACAGGATGGGTGTGGGCAGAAGGAGGGGTGCCAAATTGGTGCCAGGAGGAGCCAGGGAGTTTCCATTGCTGTCCTCCGTTTCGCAGTGGAGGAGCAGGGTCATTTGCCAGTGGAGAAAGCAGAGCTGGCAGGAGGGTGGCAAAGATTTTAAGTAGCTGTCTGGGATGGCAATAAGCTAAGTAGGGGACAGGACTGATTTGGGGTTAGAGGCTTTGCTGGGCTCCACAGAAGTTCACGCTTATCTTGAGCTGGGCTACGAATCTACTGCCTGTGTCCGGGCCGCAGTGGGCCCTCTGCCTTTATTTCTTCAAATACTGAACTCGAGAAGGTTATCAGTAATTTCACAGTCTCCTTTAACAGGCTCATTCTCATTGCTGTCCCCTCAGCAGCCCCAGGGGGTGTCTTGTGGCTCTTCCTCCAGCCAGCCTTGAAAGCCCAGACACAACCAGCCTGCAAGCGTCTCAGCAAGTGGCATCTTAAGTCATCTTGTCAGCACAGGCACCTCTGGGGTCTCCAGCAGGCCTGTGGCAGAGTTCCTTAAACAGACAGGAAGGTTTTCAAGCTGCAACCAGACAAATTCACCTAAAACTCGCCCTACACCCCTCTGTTATAGAAGAGTTGTGTTTCTTCTGTTGAAGACTGGATTTCCTCTTCAAGCTTACTGCACTGTATCTGAAAAACAAAGTTAAATTCTTAATACTCACTTTAATAACTTTTATTGCTTTAGAAGCCAAATTAAGAAAAAAACAATTTCTGAAAGCAACCATTTCACAGTCCGTCTTTTTCAATGATGTCTAATCTACAGCAAAAATCATAACCTAACTTAGTAAGAACTTTTTAATGGAA